TTGGTTGACCGTCGCCACACTCTTGTTTAAAACTTCCGCTCTCCATGTGAAGTTGTCCGATCAGTTTCCTCAGCTTTAAACAGACAACACGAGGACACAGCGCGATTGGCTGCGCGCACACACTATATGCGTGGGTCGCCCTGCAGCTCTGCTCTCTTCAGCACAGCTGATTGTGATTGACAGGTAAGCGCAGCCGTCTCCGATAAAACGCTTGTAACATCCACAGACATGTAGGTAAATGATCTGAGTGCTGGGCTGAAGTCTAAGGTGGTATGTGTTGCTGTGTGTGTTGCAGGATTGCATCAGACTGTCTCAAAGCTGATCCAGTCCTCCAAGTGATCTCACAGGTGTCATCTTTTCACTGAGGTCAGTGCGATGAGTTTAACATTGTAACACCGTCTAATTGTCAGGTTTGGTCTAAGTTTAGAGATAAACCATTTAATCTATTGATTAATCTTCACTCTTGCTTTTACTTAACGTCATCCGAGGTCGTTTTTTTAAATCATAAAACCATATACACATACTTGAAAAACGAAAGACAACACTTCGCCGCCCTTTTTCATGCAAACGAATATGAATTTACGCGATGTGAGAAGTATTCAGATGCAGTAACAATGCAAAATACTTAATTACAAGTAACAGCGATGCATTCAAAATCTTACTCGTTACAAGTATTGTCAAAATGTAATTTAGTTGTGTGCATCTGGTGCAGAATCGCCCCTTTCAAAGTTGTTGCTGAATTATTAGCCTTTTTTTTTTTTTTTTTTTTTTTTTTTTTTTTTAGGTATAGCTGCATCAAATTGATGAAGTAACTTTGAAACTTTGAAAGAGCAGAAGGTTCAAACACCCTACTGTTTTAAGAATGAGAATTAATGTGGCTGACTGACTGGTCGATTGATTGAATAAACGCGCTTTGATTGAAACTTTGATTTGATTCCTCAGTCCTGAGAAAAATGTCCACCCCGGACAGCCCCGGCGGTGCAGAGGTCAGTGCTCACTGCCAGCTTTCCTCGTCGGTCGAAAGCAACGGCTACACGGAGCATGAAGCAGACCCTGGACTCCTGCTCTCGGTCACAAGGTCCTCCCTGCTGGCTCGACGTCTCCTGCGTTTACGGACCTGCAGAAGCCATATGGGCCCCGTTACGCGCCGCAAGAGGGAAATGATCCCCGCCGACTTGAAAGATTCCACCTACTGGGATAAGCGACGCAAGAACAACGAGGCAGCAAAGCGGTCCCGGGAGAAACGGAGGCTGAACGACCTGATGCTGGAGGGTCAGCTGCTGGCTCTGAGTGAGGAGAACGCGCAGCTGCGGGCTCACGTGCTCAACCTGCGCTACCAGAGCAACTTGAGCGCAGAAAAGAGCAAAGCCGCCTCTCCTGGGGCAACATCCACTCCATCTGTTGTCGCTTCCACCTTTTCCTTATCTAGACCTGCTCACACTCCTGCTCTCTTCCAGCCAGGACATTGGGGGAGTAGGAGCACCCCCGCCTCTATCCTGGGTCTGAGGGCCCAAGAAACAGCCAGCCATCCATTGGAGGCAAATATCCCTTGTTTTAGCTCACCTAAAGGTCCCGGTGGTTTTAACTCACTAAGTCCTCACAACTGTGGCGCACAGCAACGCATCCTCCCTCTCCCCGGGGCCCGTGTCATCTCTCCCCGAACAGCTCTGGAGGGCGGGAGGTCTACAGAGGCAGAGATGGAAGCCCAGCGACAGGTCTCCTCCAGCGATGACATCCCCAACTCCACCGACGGGTCCTCCCATCCCACCTCTTCGATCCGTGCATTTCTGCCCACACCTGATACACTCCACCACGCCTCACCCACCCTGGCATACACACCTCAGAATTGGCTGGCGCCCCATCTGAGTCACTCGGCAGTGTGTAATAATCTTCTGCTGCCTTGGCGGTCCTCTTACCTGCCACCACCGGCCGTCTACCCTGGCCTGCCTCTCTACATCCACGAGAGACGGGGCCAGGGTCTCGTAGCGGAGGCGGACATTCAGAGGGGGGTCAGGAGCCGGTTAAGCAGTGCTCCAGCGGGACTGTCCCACCTCGGGATGCACCTCAGTCCTGATGGACGCTGACGGGACAGTTTGGCTGTCAAGGCAAGGAGATTAAAAAAGTGTGTCTTGTTAAAGACACAACTATATATAAATAGGATGCTAGATACGCTGTGAATTTACTGTCTGACTTTCTGTTTCTATGAGAATGAGGCAGCGGTTATATTGCACACACGGACCAGTGCTGTCCACTAAACCTTAAACTGCCCTATTAATGTAGTTTACTTCCATGTTTTATTAATTTTATCAGCGTAAAGTAATAAATGTAAACTTGTTGATTAAGATACAGAAAAGACATTCCTGCTCCTTTTTCGTGAATCGGGATACTAGTGACGTAAATTACATTACTGGTGGATTTGATTGTAGTAGGCTGCCTGTGTTGTCTGTGGACTTTATTTTAACCGTTTATCTGCGGTGAGAGAGACGGCGAAACTGGGTGCTGGTTGACTTGGTATTTCCCTTTTATCCCCACTGCGTGATTTCCCAGCAGACTTTGATTCAATGGAAAATCAAACGTTGAAAAGTTTTTTTTGTGTGTGTGTGTGTGTGTGTGAGTATACAGCTGTCAGACCTTCCTCCACTGCATCTGGTTATGCTGTTCTTTAGTGCTGAACTTTTTAACTTGTTGTTAAAGGCAGGAATATTAAACAAGAATAAAAACAATAACTAAATGTTTGTATCTGCATGGATGGCCCTCATACTGTTTGTAATTTGAAATAAAAACATGCATGAAGGGTAGGATTTTCCACCCATAAAAATGTCAAGAGGTGTCATTTCATTGAGCAAAGGCTTGGGAAATAAGGGACTAATTTATATTATTTTAAACATTAGTAATATCTAAATGGCATTTTAAAACAATTTAAATTAACTTAAGAAAGGCCACGACAATCCAAAAAATCCCCAATATTTTACCTATATTGTTCCTTCTTAAGGCTTATAATAAATTAATATAGTCCGATATTCATGTAGGAGGCTGCATGCAGCTACACTGGTGTAAATGGTGTACAAAGCTTTAATTCATCTGCATGCACCACTGAGATAGTCCATCTTGAAAGTCTCTTTTCACTGGTTTGGTGATTACCAGTGAAACTTTAATGAAACAGCGGTGCCGGTCGATGAGTTATTATAAATCAATTAGATTTCGCCGCTCAGTAGGCCTTTTAAGAAAAGTTTCCTCTTTTCATGAGACTTGTCGTAGTTCAGTTTTCTGCGGCTGGACAGGGTCTCTGCAATGTAGCCTAGTATTTATTGCAGTTTTACAAAAAAAAAAAAAAGTTGTATAATGTATTTCTGCATGTTCTCATTTCATCTTTAACAAAACTCTGTAGCGGCATCGTAACAGATGGTCTCACACAGCAGTGCATGACCTGAAGACACCAGCAGAGGGCGCTACAACACAAATGATGTGGCAGATGGCAAAGCAGAAGGCTATTGTAAATAAAGAAGTTTTTTTTTTAATCATTTCTGCCTCTCCATATGAATAGTTTTTCTAGCAGGGTTAAAGAGGCAAACTAGCAACTATCAAAGAGTCACTTGTCTACTGCATATTTAAAAAGAAAGTCATAAAAAAAAGGTACTGAAGTGTTCTACAGGCTACTAAATGACTCATTTTAATTTGGAAATCAATATTAATGTCTCATTTTGCTGTTAGCAAATTATAAAACCACTAAATGAACTCTGAGTCATACAGTTCACAAATATTTCCTGCTTTGCTAAATGTCAGATGATGTTAAATTTCAATGTTTATGTAATGTACCATCTGTTTTTGACAGCATGACTTTGCCATCGTTTCACCAATCCCGCAGACACGACTGACATTTAGATTTAAAATAAGTCACATACAGATATCTGGTCGAAATGCTAGAAAAGAAAGAGCAAAGTTCAACATTGTTATACGTACACAGGTTAAACTGCGACTTCTTGGCCATATGACAACAATCAAGTGTTCTCATGGACCTCTGGTGCATATTCTTCCGTATTAACGGCTTAAACGCATCACAACAGGAAGCAAAAATCTTACTTGTCTACGTGTGACAGCATCTATACATAGAAATGGGGGCTGAGGTAAAATTTCACAGTCACGACAAACGCACGTTAAAATTCCATTTACAAGTTAATTTTTATTTTTATAGTGCATAGCAAGTGGTCCTACAGTGCACAAAGTGAAAAGCAGAATAGTGAGAGAATATTAAATGTGCAGGCACTTAGTTGCAACTTCGACACTGATAAGTGACAAACACTTCTCTTTTTCTGTGAATCTGAGGTGCGGAAGATTTATTTATCACTCATGCAGAAACATTTCAGTCACTTCAGTGTAGTCTTCTCTGTTGTGCTTTACTGCAAATATCTGAAGGCCACAGAACTCTTATGTTTTGCCTTGTGTTGTGGCTTAGTCTCTTGTACTACTACTGATTCTATGGCTAATGCTACTACTTGTGCTACACCCAAGTTTTTTCAGGGAAGAGCCATCAGGTAAGTGCCTGAAATGTAAAATGTCTGTTCGGATGAAAGTTTAATTGAATACTACACACCACACATAATGATCTGGCCACAGTACAGCAAACACAACAGTAATACACTGCAAATACAATAACATAGAGCATGGATTTACTCAAATGATGAATTAAAGTAGCACCATTACAGAATTTTCTCATAGAGTTTTTAATTTTTGACTCATTTAAGAATACAACACACAACATGTCAGTTTGTATCTGACAGCAGCATCATAAAGGGGAGACCCCTGTGTGGGCAAGCCACTTACACCACAACACTATCAAGATGAATGGGGGCAGGCAGACACCTCTCATGTGACAACAAAGGTGGACAGTCAGAGTTAAAGACAGGAAAACAACACCTTAAGAGTGAGAGAAAGCTAAGAAATCAAGAGGTGAGAGGGCAGGACTGAAAGCAACAACATGTTATGAGCCCCCGTCTGCTGATGATCGCATTACACAGTCTCACAGGAGAGCTCAGTGCTCGAAGTTGTATATTAGTCGTGGGTGAGAGCAAGATATCTGCGAATTAGGTCGCTGGCACCTCGGCAGCAGTGGACTTTCTGCAGACAACAGTTAAAAGGTAAGGCCTCATGCTTATTTTAACACGTAAAGTGGTTTGAACCATTATGTTACAGCAGGTAGATTCATTGAAGAAAATGGTTGAGGTGTTAGTGACCAAAGGATTGATGGTTTATACAAATGTGCAACTATTGTGTTGTGCTACGAAACAGACGGCCAGTTAACTTTTTTTTTTTTTTTTAAATGATTTGTTGCCAAAAAACAAAAATAAGAACCCATATTGACATTTTACATATTATCAAAAAAAAATCTAAACATTCATACATTACCTGAAAATGTTACTCCATTATCTGGCAAGAACTGTTTGAGGAAGAGGAAGTGTTACTACCTTGTAAATATAATATAAGATTACTTATGAGGACAGATTTGTACATGGTGTGTTCCTACAATACGATGCGTTTTACAATAACATATTGATCATTTGTCATCAATTTCATAAATACTCTCATAGTTATATTCAGGTTGTTATCTGGTGAGAGGGACATTTTACTGAAGTTGTAAAGATACGCAAAGTCAGTTAGGACGACATCTTGGTACAGCGTGACTCTAACGGTCTTTAACCCGTGATTGTTTTGAATTACACTGTTTACATTCGATTGCTTTGAGACACGATCTCAGATTATCTAAACCCTATGGAAATTACTGCATATCCTAATGATCCAAAAAGAAGTCCATAGCTGTATATTTTCTGCGGCCCAAACACAAACGTTTGTGTCATTTTAAGTAAGTGACCAAAAAAGCAGAACACATCTATGTTATAATGTTATCTAGAACAGTAGTGTAGTAAATCCTTTAAAAAGCTGACTGGTGGCTGGTTTGGTTTTTGTTGACATTGTTGTGTCAGTGATGTGTTTATTTTAACATTTCAGAATCTTTGAGGTTGTGGCTGCTGGTGGCGTTTCAGATTCATTTGTACCTTAAGGTCTTTCTAAAAATTCTATCCTACATATATGTGAGATAGACGAAATTTTATAAACACCTTTCAGAATATAAATGTTGAATACAACACTTAAATCCTTAATAAATATACTAAAACAGTAGTCCCCAACCTTCAGGCCATGGACTGGTACTGGGTTGCAACATATTCGCTACCAGGCTGCATGGAAAGGATCATTTGTTAATTTTTTTTTAATCTGTGAAAAACAACAATTGACAACCAGTCTGTGAGAAATGTGTCTTTCTGAAATCGGACCAAGGTGCAAAAAAGGTTGGGGACCGCTGTACTGAAACCTAAAGCACTGCTGAACATTTTAGATGGTGTTACCTGGCTAATGCATTGGACAGCTGTTTCTATTCTTTTGGTCATTCAGTGTGAATTATCAATGAGAAACATAGTGTTCTGCATCATATATTTGGGTCTTGATTGCACAATACTTATGAAGTAGCCGCATGGGTTCAAACTAACGGAAACATACGTTTTTGTTCTTTGTTCTGTGACTGCGAGTATTATTTTACTATTTAAGGAGTTCAGCCGTCTTGAAATTCCACAACCCATCATAGATAAGTTAATATCAAGAGCTTTAAGTGCATCACATCACATCTGGATGATTTTAAATACAAATCCAGAGGTTTCATAAGCATAAGTATACATCTTAAATAGAAGATATTTTTCATTTATCCATTTTTTTTCCATTACACCACATCATTGATGGCTTAGTACCATGCTCTCTGTATAGAGTTAGAATATTATATTTGTTTTCTCTTGTGACAGTGCCGTACATACTTTTATAGGATGGCGCTATGAGTTATTAGCACTGCCCTTCAAGGAATGTATGCATTAACAGACAATTCAAGCCAAGAACTGTGCCAAAGTCTTTATTCCCCCAAGAGGGCATAAATTCAATCTAATGTCCCTGATGGCAGTTTAGAAAAGAAATGAACATAGTACATTTAGGTATGGACTGACCCTGGGTAGTTATTTTTACAGTGGCTGGCAGAGTACACAGCAAGACAACAGCAGATGGTAGAGTATGAGAAAACGGATAGACACCAAAAGAAGAAGTTCCTTACTAAAAAGCAGGCTGGCTATAATTAGTCAATAAGAAACAGGTGCAAATGTGCAGCAGAGTAGTGAGCGGGCTCGGCCTCAAGAGAGATTTCACTCAGGAACCCTCTCTCTTTTTTTATTTTCTCTCTCTGTGTCTCCCTATATGATTGTTGTTCTCTGTCTTCCTGCTGTTGCTTTTTTTGAGTATACAACGCTTAGTCTTTGCAACACACACCAGTATGCAGGTGTGCATCCTATCACACAAATACGTATGGGCTTAGGGTCTACATTCTCACTGGGCACAGGCTTGAATATTTTTAGCCTCATGTACGTTCTCGTCACCACATACTGGGTGCATGGCCTCTTTGAAACTTTTGTTTTGAAGTTTTAGGCTCAGTCTGGCTGGCACATCAAAATATGTGTGCTGAGAAGATGCTTTAAGTGTGAATGACAAAAATAAAAATGAGTACTCACAGCTAAACAGGAGGACAATGGACTACAAAGTTATGGGTTGTGCTTAAGAGAATGCTTAAGTTCCTCATGTGTGAGATCCTGAGTGAAAGTTTATTCTGCATTGCATTGCAACGTTTGCAAGCTTTGTATGATGCCTGATTAGAAATTAACTTATCAGCTATGGTGCTGCCTGCGAAACAGAGTGTGAGGGAAACATCAGTGAGTTAAAATACACAAGTGTGAGCTCAATGTGTCTTTCTGCGTATGATCGCACGTTCAGGGGGCTGCTGTGGTTTCAACACAATCTTCATCCTTCTTGCATAGCTTCCCATGAAACCACCCACAAACCCAAGCGAGTGAAAGAAAATTTATCAAAAGCTGCCAGCATTCCTCTCAGTCTGGTTATTCAAAGTATATTCCCGATTGATTTTACCTTCAGCCTTATGCAGTGAAATTGACAAACCCTCACCAGCTGCCTTTTTGGTGCCCAGAATTTAGAAGAATGAAGTGAAGCAAGTAGATTAAAGAGATGGAGAAGGGGAAGTGGTGACTGGGTGGACATTTTGATCAAAGAGAAGGGGGGGGGGGGGGGGGGGGGGGGGGTAAGGTGAGAAACTCTAACTCAACTATACAATGGGCCACTTTTTATAAATCTGAACTGAATCCATCCCGATAGTGAAAAGCTGTCTTTATATGATTTCTATATGGCAAGCTCAAGTGACCACATCTCTGCTAAACTGAAACAACTTTGTGCCTTCTGCAAAAATGCAGTTAAGGAATACTACAAAATACTTTTGCAAGCTTCTTGCAAAGACAATAACAGAGAGGTCCCTGCATCATTTTAAGATGAGTTGAGTTCAAGTTCATTTGTATAGTAGAATGTCATACAAACATATATCTAGTGACAACAGCAAAACTCCACACTAATCTGTAAGATTATCTGTACAAAACTCCCCAAAGTGAGCTGTCAATGATCCGTGAAGCAGATCAGTGCAGTAGCTATACGATTGCTGCTACAGGAACTCATTGTTTTAAATAACAGTATACTGAACAATAGCACACTGATTCTCAAACACATAGTCCACATTCATCTTTGTCTACTTAATGTTTCCCGTCACAATTTCTGATGTGGTCTAGACAGGTAGGAGGTGAGGTTTGGTCAGGAAGGGGGGCTTGAATGCTGGAGGTGCAAATTAAATGCAACTGAGTGCAATGTACACTTCTCTTTTGTCTCTTTCCCGAAGACTGAATAATATGATCAGTAATACTGTTCATAAACACAATACAGAAATTCCCAAAAGTACTGAATCATAAAATGAATCTGAATACTACTTCACGGTTTATCATTTTAATACCTGTGTAATACCACTATAATATTTCTATCATATATCTGTTTGGACATAGAACTCGGGGATGGTTTAATAACTTACAATGAGTTGAAAACACGATACTACTTAAAATACTACAAACTAGCTTGTAATTTCTACTATCATTTCAAAATACTCATAGTAACTTATAACTTTGCACCTGTATTTACACCTGGCATACCCAACATTGTCATAGTATAACTCATAGCTTACAATAACATACATTCTTTTGTAGCAATTGAACACTGATTTATGATATTTTTCAACTATGATATCTGTATAATGTTATATCACAGTGACTATGCTTCTGTACATGCTGTCCAGAGTCTCTCCAGATAAAGAGGAAGAGATCTGTCTGCCAGTCAAAGTTACAGAGGATGAACAGAATAGGAATATTCATGAAACCACACCCAGTGTTACAGGCCTTTATGACAAGTTTTCCACCAAGAAACAAGAGGCCATGTAAGGCAATAACCCACGCAGTAATCCACTAAAATGCAATGTCAGTGCAACATCAGTACCGAGGAGAGTCTGAATTCATCAAGAAGACAAGATTTTACTCTGCAGCGACAAAAACTAACATCTGTCGACTGTACCACTGTCCACATTTGACGACAGCTTGAAAATCATCAGCATACCTACTGACAGCCAATCCTGTAGCAGAACAGTCTTGCGGCCACAAATCCACAACACTGTTACTATCTCGCACACACAAAAACCCAGCTCTATGTGTTTGTCAGTGGTGGCTCGTCCAACTCAGAAATTATATTCTATACTCAAAAAAAAACAAACTTCTTGTACTAGCAAACCTGGAAATGACAAGCTTCTCTGCCTTAACACATCTGTGCACCAGATGTTTGTTTTCGTTCCATTTCTGCAGTAGTTTAGCCTTTGTACTAAGACTGTAGCACAGTGGAACCAACTATCCCTAAAAAGAAAAATTCAAAACAGGACACAAGTCTATGTTAAATATTTTCTGTAACTTTCTAACAAGTCCACCAAAACAGGTCAACAGGCGCTTCAAGGGTTACCAGACAGGAACACTAGAACACCAAAAAAAGAGAGGTACAGGAAAACAGCAGACTTCAGTTATATGTTCTGCTTGCACATTACAGTAGTGAGTGTTTTAAAAAGAGTAAAATGAGATCTTATGGGCTTCTTACTTGGGGCCCTTGGTGAGTGCATGGCTCGGGTTGGCCCCCCTCCCTGCCCCCCACAACAACCCTATTACATTTTACAATGACATTCAACACCAACTCAGTTGTTGTAGGTTTGCTGTTCTCATGATGAATAAACTTCTCAATGTGAAAATGATCTATTGTTGACTCTCCTAATTTTTCCCCAATAGGTGACAGCTGTGGGATATGAATAACTAGAGACAAACAGGCAGTAGTCCCACAAACTACAATCATCCGAAATATTACCGTGCTTCTAGCAAAGACAAACCAACCCACACTAAGACAAGGTAAAACACAAATCAGATTAGGTTAACATTACACAAGAAGGAAGTACCTGTATTACTCAGCCTCTAAGACAAGAACAAAAACATTCCTCTGTTCCTCTTGATTTCAGGTCTCTGTTGGTTGTTACTATTTCATCTACCATGGAGTCCCTGTCATTGTCTTTTGACGGTGGCCATGTTTTACAAGTGGACAATGAACCGGTATGTAAGGGACACCGTCGCAAGAGGGAGTTCATACCTGAAGAGAAGAAGGATGCCCTATACTGGGAGAAACGTCGCAAGAACAACGAGGCAGCCAAGCGGTCACGGGAGAAGAGAAGGATGAATGACTATGTGCTGGAGACTCATTTCATGGCCCTGAAAGAAGAAAATGCCAGGCTTAGTGCTGAATTAATGGCCATGAAGCTCCACTTTGGGCTGGTTCACCCTGCAGCATACACTGCTCACCAGAGCAACCAACTGAATCACCATGTTCACAGCGGCACCCTGTCACCCACGCCTGCCACCAGCACCCACCACCAGTTCCTGCAGAGGGACTATTACTGGCATGGTAGAGACTCTACTGTTATGCCAAGCCACCAACCCTCTCAGCCTCTTTTCATTCCTGCATATGCCCTCCATACCATGAGAGGTTACCCATACTTAAACACATCTGGTGGTGCCAGCTCTGGCCTTGTCACTCCCCTTGCTCTCCCTCGAAATCTCCTGCCGACCCACGCACCCCGACCTGGAGCTTCTCTACTGAAGCCCATTCCTACAAGAGCCGCCTCAGATGAAGAGGAGGAGGAGCAGCAGGTCCCAGGGGTGCTGTCCCTGACGTGCTCTGCTCCGCCTCTCAAAATCAACAGGAAAGGAGAAAGGATCTACTTCCCACCAAGACAATGCACATCCAACTGACTGTCGAATATAAAGGGGTGTATCTACTGTATAGCTGTTGGATTGATTGAGTGAAAAATAAATAGCTCATTTCTCTTTACATCCCGTTAAAAATTCCTGCTTAGATCGAGATTAGATTAAGAGCTCTTTTATTGTAGAGTAATGGCACATGGTGCGTGTTGCGCTTAAAAAGTATGACGTAAGTGCATAAGGTTTTTAAACCACCACACTCTCCGCTTTTCATATCACAGCACACATTGACAGTTCTATGTTGAATGTTCATTCACTCTACAGCCCCTTGAAGAACATATTGCCCCCCACACACCAGAAAAGTTAAGTGTTTGAATAAAATCCATTCATGTACAAGTTCACAGCATGCCATGCTGCGTCAAAAGAAAAAAAAAAAAAAATATATATATATATATATACATACACAGCTCTAAAGCTAATTGAGCTCCTTTCTGCATGGTGTCAAAGTCAAGCAGATGTTCAGATGTGGGTTATGAATAAGTAGTCACTCATCTTGATCTGAGCTACCTACTCTCTGGTCAGAGGACTGCTAATTATTCAACAACATCATGTTTTTTTTTTCTTTTACATGCATGAATGTTGATCAGAAATGTGACAGAACTAGTTGTGTGTCAAATGTCAGTTTGTATTTTGTCGATGAATAAGCATTACTTGATGCTAATGTATATCTGTTAACCATCAATTGTAATCTCAACTAGATTAATGTAGAATCAAGTATATCTCACCACCTTTTTTCATACGGTGAAATGCAGCTGAAAACATGCGTTACTCGAAATAAAAACTTTTTAAGTTCAAGTAACTTTTGGATATCATATGGTTTCATCTGGGACATGGCAAAGTTACTATAGGTTGCAACCTCCCTCCAAATGGAAACAGTGAAGTGTGTTGTTGTATTTCTTTGGTTTTCCTGTGTGGGCAGACAGACATCTTCCATCATGCTGTGGTCTGGACAGTCTGTCTGCACCTGTCAATATTCTAAAAAGCTTTGGGTCGACATTGTGGTGAATATATTTTACATTAAAAAGAGATTAAAACGATTACATTAAAGCATTGTGAACAAAGTTTTAAGTTGTCCTAAGTTTTTCCTCCATAACCCAGAAACTGATGGAAAATTCACCATATCATGTACTTTGCCAACAGAGGAGGAGATAAAGGCTGTGTCCAAATACAGAGACTAACTCCTACAGTGCTGTGGCCTTGAGCAGATTGAAGGTTTGTGTACTTCAGTACTCAAAAAATTAGACCGTCTGTCCAAAGAGAAAAGTAAAACTTTTGCATTAGGTTACAGAAACAGCAGCTTACTGCTCTCTTCTCCTAGCTGGCATCTGTTGTTTCTTTCCATGTATTTTCAAGTCAGCATTACCCCAGGCTGCTGCAGATTGTTGGCTGTTTGCCCAACAACCTCAAGGCAACATTGCTGCTGGCCAGGCAAATAGCCAGTCCTGCTGGCTCAAAGACAAACTCAAAGAAACAGTGACTGCCAACAGGAACAAGACAGCAGCTGACTACTGAGTAAGTGTTTTTGTAATATAACACTATTTTTTGTTTATGGACAGACATGCAATAACTTATCAGCTGCTGTGGCTAAGATTATTAAACAGGGCCAATAGAGCTGTTAAAAGCAGGTAGTTAAAAGTGTCAATTTTATGACATATGGCACATTTGCTTATAAATAAGTAGTCCGTAAAACAAACATTTTTTTGTTTCTTTAGAGCTCCATCTCCATAAGGCCTTTAGCAATTTACACAATCTAAAAACTACTTAATTACTGACAATGGGAATACAGAGAGCCTGGCAGGTATTAGGGGAATCTTTTTAAATAATCTGTTCACAATAACCAGTTATTTGAGCCAGTAAATTATTACTCTGTGCCTTAGAAATATTATACTGTACCCTTATATTGTCCTTAAGAATCCTCCTCACACAGTTTTTAGTGTAATGACAATGAATTTGCCTTGTTTTGCAGGGTTACAGAAAACATTGAGTATTTCACACTACAGCCAGCATGCTAACATTGGAGCAGGTGACCTAGCTAAAGCAGTGGGGGAAAACGTTGTGCTGTTTCAGTTATTGTATGGCACAGTGTGATATACTTACGAACAAGAAGTGGCCGCCATGGTGCTTTTTGGGTGCTTTTCTATGTAATTTAGAAAAACAAAACAGCTTACCACACAGACTAATGTTAACTTACAGGGAGGAGACACTCGAGCACAACCTTCCAACATATGGTTCCGCCATCTTTGTTACACGTACACTTATACGGTCGGGCGTAGCGGGTGGGAGATCACCTTCGCTCCCGTCATGCCCCATGCAACCAGTAGGAGTCGCTAGTGCGGCGAGGCGAGCAGGAGGCTCCGCCCCGCAGCCCAACTCGAGCCCGACGCTTGTCACTCACCTTCCCGTCTGTGTCTTGCAGATTAATCCACACATGGTTGTTAAAATGAACATCTTACTTGAAAGTAAACTGTGTTATCATATTCTAATAAAGGCACCTAGCATGCAAAAACGGTTGTATAACCACAGTAGCCTGCTGTGTAAAATCAATCTTACATAGGCCAGGGAGGTCGTGTTCTCCTCCCCCTTTCTGTCTTGGTGGAGGGATGGGGCATGGGCCAGAGTAGTACCCATAAAATTTTAGAGCATATCAGGGTCATTAACTGTGAATTAAATTTTTTTTTCTGTGAAGTCTGGTTTATGTTGTAGGACTTTCTTTTCTTTTTTTTTTTGTCTCAGTAGTTTTGGTCAGCTGGTTGATGAATAGTATTTTCCAAACCACATATGCACCAATAATGTCATTCTGTGAGTAATGTAGCATGAAGGTTGTCCCCTGCTGTGTCTTTCTGCTGAATAGTGCTAACTTGCTAAAATAAGATCTTTATGTAGTGAGTGTGTGTAAAATGCTTAATCTGTTTGGATATAATTGTAATCATTGGAATTTTCCCACTGTAAAGTTGGTGGTAATTTTCTGTATATGTCTTAATGGTGTTTCAAACCTTTCTGTGGCCCCCTGGTTCTGTAAGCTTCATTATAATAATAATACAATATTAGTCACAGACTTTACATAGTGTATTACCCTGTTTTCATAGGCAAACTAAACCGAGACACCATTTATTAGTTACCACAACTTGTCTTGTTTTGCTTTTGTTTGTAATAAAATCGCCAAAATGGGACTCTTTAACTCAAAGTTTATTTATACCCAGCACTTTATCAAATGCAAGACAATTGAGCTCATACAGACTGACTCCCTAAGGGCAACATTGTCTTAGAGCATGGTATTAAGCCAGTGTTTTTCTCTATTTAAACATACTCATCCCTACTGTCAGTCTTGTGTTGACTGATCTTTGGTGTCATGCAGCTGATATCAGAGTTTATAGGCTACGGCAGGTTTTTAATCTATTTTCAACCAAAAATACAGAAATCTTGATCACGTTTTCAGTCTAATATTAAATTTGATAAATATGTAAAATAAATCTCTATAACTACATCTATTGCTAATACAATTTTTGCTCTATCATTGAATTTCTATAACTAATATAGAAGAATAACTAACATTTTAGGGCATATGTACAGCTTGATGGGTTTTGAAGGTCAAATGCAAGGTCTAGCATGTTGTGGTTTTGAAACAAGAAAATTAATACAGTCTTGATGGTACATTATCATTTGTTCTCTAGCCAAACATCAATAAAACACATTCACTACATCTGTCATTGGGCTTAGGCCCACATTTTGTTTTCAACATCTTTCACCCCTTTGCAACCACCCTATCAACAACAAGCTAATGTGGCATCTGACCATGCATGTCACCAGTCACCACTCTGTGTTGAAACTAATTACTCACAGAGTTCTGAAATCAAAACTAAGCTTTGGTTAATTTGTCTAGTGTGCAAATACAAATAATGTATGACACGACTTTCAAGTCATTTTGGGCTAGCTCACATAAGTCATAGTGAGATTTAGGTAAACCCAGAGCTCCCAATGTCATCAAGTTTTAGCTGAAAAAGTCTCATCACAGTTGAAGGATTTGAATAAATTATCAGCCAATGTCATCAAAATGAGCAGGGACTGCCTTTTTACAGTATTGTTTATATACATTTCTTAACAAGTGACTGAAGAAAAACTTATTTTGGGAGATGTTTGTTTGCAGCTTACAAACTGATCTACAACCAGAATATGTCATGATGAAAATAGGTGTGAATTCTCTGCAGATGAATTGTTTGTTCAGCAGCTGCTAACCACTACAGTCCCATTTAGACCACCACATTTCAACACCATGGTAACACAAAATGTGTGATTACTACACACATGCACACACATCTTATAGACAAACACGCATCCATGCACATTGTGTTACATCATTTTAATTACCCATCAATGTTCCCACCGTATATATGGAAATAGATTTGTTAAAGCAGAAGTTGGGTGTCAGTGTGTTAAAGTGCATTTCCTCTCAAACACAAGCGATACTGGAGGGGAGGGTTTCACTGCATTGTGCATTTTACCACTGCTTTTCATTCCAAGTAATTTAACAGAATTATTAAATAAGTAAAATCCAGGGCAGTCATATCTTGAAGGTTTATACTGTAATTTCTTTGGGGTTGGTGTTTAGTGCCACATCTCAGGTTGATGACACATATTTCAGTTGCTCATCTGAAATGACACAGTCAACTCCTAACAAGGGAGTAGGTGTATTACTGTCAAGTACAAACTAGAAAAACTAAATCATTCACAGTGATTTCTAGGAAAAAGAGAGGTGTAATCAATTTCCAGTCAAATTCAATTTTCACCAGAGTTTTTCTAAAGGTCTAGCACGTGGTGTCCATTTCACTCTTCACAGGGAGGTAAAGTGTAAGAAGAGTGAGAGTAATGTAGCCTAGATTACTGTATAACACTTTATACTAGAGTAACTTTGTATAAATGCAAAGCTATTTTTTTTTATCTGCAACATTCATGTTTTTGCAACTTGGTTTGATGAATGCATGTACATGTAGTGTATGTACAGTATATCATTAACTAAAGTGAATCTTAACAAGAACACTTTCTGCAGGAAAGTCTTGTTCATATAATCCACAAAATTTTCTCCAATCTTAAAAATATTTTAGACATTTTATAAGTAGTAAAATAGAGCAGCTATTGTAGTTTCTTACTGGCATACAGAGGGGTGGCACAATCAAGAAAAAACATGAATTAATGAGTGGAGAAACATAAATGCAGATGCTTCCATACAGATGTACTGCATCATGCAGTTAAGCAATTAACGCCTTGTCATTCCCTCAGACATGTATAAAAAATGCAGAGTAGGCCCAGGTGAATTTTGGATCAAGCTGTCAAGAAGGAAATTATCTAAGAGACAAGTTAAAACACAATGAGAGACCAGAAGTGCAAAAATCATGCACACTGGTCTACAGAGGTGTGGAAAAAAAGTGATGCAGTCAAATGAGTCATCTTTCACCATATTTTTAACACGTGGGGGAGTGCAGCCATGACAAGAAGCAAGAGAACAGTGCAGGTGCAAATCCTTGACCCCCACAGTGAGGGGGTCGAGTGGTCTGGTTCAACATTTTCCTTCCACAGTCTCTTGATAGTCTTGTCTCTTGAGAGCAAGGGTTCTCTGCAAATCAAAGTTAATCAGAGTGATTTATCCTTTGATGAAACATTTCTAGGTTGGCGGGAGTGGTGACGCTGAATGGTTTGATGAGCATGATATGAATCATATGCTTCAGCCGTCATAATTACAAAACACTCAGTAATTTCTGGACCAACATATTAGACAGGGTTTGATGTTCATCTCCTCAGTGCAGTTCCTGATCCATTTCAAGGAGCACAGAAGCAGCTTTAGAGCAGGAATTCATGATCCTTTTGTAAAATAGAAAATATTTTCAAGATCTAATGCACACATTTTAAGACATATAAAAATGCTCTGCTTGGAATGATAATTTTTGTCTGCCGTATTTCTTTTTCCTCAGAAAAGTTCAATTACCTTGTTAGAAAATCTTTAAAAAACTATGAATGTGCAAATATTGCCAATTTTTAAGATTATCTTGTATGTACAAATTTTAACTTCAAACTTAAGGTCAGCACATTGAAACTTTCCTCCTTCACCAAATGACTATGAAAACAGCCTTCTGGTGTCAGATCGAGAGACACGGTGAGGTAACAAGCAACACACATTTTTGAGTGGAGAGGGGACTAAGAATTTAAAGACCAGATTTTGAAAAATTGAAATGTACTTGGGTGCTGACCATCTTCCTGTTGCCTGATCTACTTCCTCCTTGAGGTGTCCCTGAAGTGCATGCTCTTTATTTGTCTTTGACCTGAGCAGTTATCAGTCACAATATTACAGTATGAATTCACTTTGAATAACACGGAGCTTAGTCTAGTTTTATAAGTTACACTGGTACAATGGTTAGACATCCAAGATGTAGAACGCCCTACAACAAACAAACAACACATTACAGTGTGAATAATTTTATCTGCTCACAAAAGTTTATTTACTTTACCTTGTGTTTTGATGAATGCATAGAAAATGAACAACAACAACAACAACCCTCCTCCTACAGTATATGCAGTACCTATATCATTAAAGTGAATCGGGGCAAGAATGGTTTCATCTAATAGCATATCCTTGTGTGTGGTGCAGATAGCACATCCATCCATCTGATTTAATTGATGTTTTTTTAATCAAAATATGACAAACTCCTGGAAGAACTTACCAAAATAAAATCCGCAACACAAAATCTCACAGTGACAGGGTCACAGGTGTAATTTAGAACATCTCAGACTGCCACCATAAGGGTCGAGAGACCAGATCACTGATATAAAAATGGGACAGGGGACAAGACATCATCATAGCAGGTACTATAGCATGCTTTATAAACAGTGTGCTTCATTTTTATAAAACAATACAATACAAAACAGTGTAGCACAATTTCCAGACACAACAGTTTCCATAATTACACAATGAGTTCAGCAAAGGACGATGAGAAATACAATTGAATTGTTTACATGTTTAAATCACAGAGAGGAACCTTAACTGGTGTCAGATCAGTCCATGAACATATTCACAGTTCATTAATCATTTTGTTTGTTTAATTTGTTGTGCAGTATATGTGGGTGAACACTAAATGATGTAACATGGGATGACACAGTCTCTACTGTTTGTTATATGCTGCAGAAGAAGTAGTACAGGGGGAGGGTTTGCTCTGTGAGGAATGTCATATTATTCATTTACATAAATTCATTTTCACTTCCAATACTACTGGATCCAGATCAGCCCTGCATCAATTTCATAATTGCCTTTTTGCAAAATGGAATAAACTGTTTACTGTGAAGTCCACAGCTTGAGGTCACAATGTAGAATTCAATACCATTCATAGCCAACAGAGGGCGGCAGAGTAACACTGGTAAAAGTGGAACAGTGGAAGCTAAACAGGAAGAGCTGATCTCTGAACTGTTGGTATTGGTCCTCAGAGCTAGACCCACAGATCAAGAGATGGGCAATACGTTAAGGTTCAAATGGTATATGCAGTTCACCTGTTTTCTCACTCTCTGAAGAGAAGATGGAAACTGGATTCAATGCCTCCAGTTTCTGGCTTTTAGATAGATAGTGTGGTATAGAAACTACCACATGTTGACATGAGTGCAAATTCATGTGAAAGAACAAAAAACACTGTATTACATTCTCAAATATAAACTGTATTCATTCATCAATTTATGAATAAACAGCTATGGTTTTTATGTGAGGGAATATAGAAACACCCTTTGTAAACACTTGACGACTTTTTGATCCCAAGTTAAACAATTACATCTTAATGCTGCACATTGAAACCACCTTCAGAACCACTTCTCCTTAAACTTTTACAATATGTTGCACTCCTGTCTTAAGTGGCATATATTGTTACAAGCAAGCATCCAGCCCTTTGCTGTTACAATGTCAGTGTCTTCCTAGAATACCTAAATTCCCTCTCCTCTCTGGCTCAGTTTCATTATGACCTTTGTTCCAGTCTGCAAGGTCTGCATCACATTAGCATTTTTCCCTATGTCTCTCAAACAGAACGGGGTCCCGATGAGAGTCCACTTAACTCCTTGTCCCGCTGATCAGGCAAGCCTCCCCATTGTCGCTTATGCAGCCAGAAATAGGCACATGAACTAAAACCTGACATTAACGCCCTTCATGATTTGTTGTGTGAGCTCAGACATGTCCCTAACTGATTATATGATACGGTGAGATTGTAAAAGCTGGATATCACTATGTTGAAAAGGAGACTTTAACATTAGAATTACAGCAGAACAGTAATATCTGATCACTCAACATTACTATAAACAACCACAAGGATGTCAATGATTACAAAATATATAATACATCTTATACAGTATCCTATCTATACAGTATGATCTATTCAACTGTGGGATAAATTCACCCCAACAAATGTTTAATTTACAAATAGTACACATTATTCAAAGTAAGAAGCCAACTCTGTGCATGCATTCATCTTTACACAGGCTTTTCAGATAAAGAGGGCAAGAGTCTTGTACAGTGTTTTCTACTAAATCATAAACAACAATGGAAAACCTAACTAGCAAGTGTGCATCTGCATGTACGGATTTGTCACCACATAACTGTGCATGGGTCCTTTAATTGTAGCTCAACATCTTTGACCAACTTATATCCAGTGAGAAGCGACTTCTCTCTGCCATGGCTTTGCATTGACAATGATAACATGGTGCTCTACGGTTAAATTGGCAGTGTTGCAGAGTGTAGACTCTTGGTATTTATTTCATAAGATATAAGAGTAAATTAATACTATTGGTATTAATTTATTCTGTACAAACCCACCATCAGCAAAAAAGCAGAGCCTTTATGTCATAACAGTGCTCTGAAATCCTGACTGTAGATGAGTCTAAATATGCAGTATATAGCTAGAACTATTCAAATACATATTGGCAAGTCCTTGGCATTCATTGAGCACCACCCTGTTATTATGTATTCATGAGTTTGGAAATAGAGAGCTTGAATCACCTCAGATGGAGGAGAGGCGAAGTCCTTTAGAGGTGAGGAGGACAGAGATCCTCGTGGGGAAGAAAGATGGAGTTGGCAAGAGCTCTGTAGAGGTTAAAGACTGGTGGGACTCTGAGTGCTATTGTTGCTTGGTCTTTTAACAGTCTATTCAGGATTTTGAGACATCTTTAAATATAATCCAGATCTCTTCTGCACAATAATGTGAACACACAATAAAGAGCAGCAGAAATACAGTACATCAAATCCATACAGATTGCCTTTTTTTTTGTTGTGTTTCAATAACAAAACCTTAAAATATCCTATAAATAACTGATTCTAATGTTTTGCGAGCACAGACTCCCATTCCAGTGTTTTTATGTCCCTTTATGTCCTAGCTGGAGACTGCTTGTAAACAGTATGAGGGATAGAATACTAATAAGAAAAAATAGACCAAAAATAATCAAATCATTTTCATGTTGAACTTGCGTGCCCCACCCTGTCCTCCACTGGCAGCAGGTCCATCCACTTTTCTGAAGGAATATTCCACTGAGAAATTGTTCTTGTGCTGCCCTCTCCCTCGACTCCACACAAACAGCAGAATGAAACAGAACAGGACTACACCCAGGAACATGATACAGCCCATAGCTGTGGATATGAGGATGGTCTTGAGGTCCAGAGTGAACTTCAAGAAGACTCTGGTATCATTTAGATTTGTGTCATTAAGGTCCCCAGCATAGTAAGTGCGGTTGGCCATAAGGGCTGCATCTAGTGGCAGCCCACTAACTGTGAGTGTGGCAAAATAGGTGTCATTTCCACCAGCGTTGCTGGCTATGCATATGTAAGTTCCACTATCCATTACCTGGGCGTACCGTATTTCTAGTGTGCCTTCTGGTAATACAGTGAGGCGTCCGCTGCTCTTTGTGGTGATGCGACGGCGCTGGGGTGAGATCCAGAATATCACTGGTGTTGGCTCACCCTCTGCTCTGCAAATGAATGACACAACCTGTCCCTCACGGGCAGATATCTGCTGCAGTTTCCTGTTGCGGATTTTGGGCTTCTGGCAAGTAAAGTGGTCAAAGAGAGCTGAGTCAGAGAAAGCGTTAAGAGCCCGTCCTTGCACCTCAACAGGCATCATACACACTGGAGAAGCACCGTCAAAATTGAGGGTCTTCCTGCGCTGAAGGATCCAGAGCAGGCGGCAGTCGCAGGCCAGAGGGTTTCCATCCAAACGCAGCGTCTCCAGAGTGTTGACGGATTGAAAGGCTCCCTCTTCCAGGGTCACCAGGCTGTTAGTGGAGAGGTTGAGAAGGTGGATTTGCCTCAGACCACCCATGGCGTATGGCTGCACTACTGCCAGGTTAGTGTTGACCAGATGCAGCTCCTTCAGCCTAACAAGGTCCCGCAGCGCCCAGGACTCCAACACAGAGATGGGGTTGAAGGAGAGGTTGAGGCTGGTGAGGTGAGCCAGACTGCGCAGGGCAGAGGTCGGCACAGAGGTGATGTTGGTGTGCGTGATAGACAGCCAAGACAAGTTAAGACCCTGCAGGCTGTGAGGGGAAATGTACTCCAAAAAGGGCCAGTGATCGATCTCGAGCCCCCTCAGGTTTCCCAGCTTCCGGAAGTTCTGGTCCTCTAAGGCGGAGATACTGAGGTAGCGGAGCCGCAGAGTCACCAGGTTATGCAGGTAAGACAAAGACTGGCTGGACACAGAAGTCAGGTTGCACCTCTCAATGGTCAGCTCCCTCAGCCCCACTAGACCCAGAAAGGCCTTGTTGGAGATATAAACCAGATCATTGTCTCCAACCTCAAGGTTTTTTAGACTTTTCAGGTCTTGGAAAGTAAAGTCCAAAAGAATCACAATTTTATTCCCACTGAGATCCAGTGAAGTTAGGTTGGAGAGACGTGAGAAAGCCCCCATGGGGACCAGTTTTAACTGGTTACCCCTCAATGAAAGCGACTGCAGGTTCTGAAGACTAGAAAAAGCATTCGGTTCCAGGACACTAATCATGTTGTCACTCAGGTCCAGCTTTTCAAGACGTAGATATGGAAGCAGGTCACCGTGCTCTACCCAGCGAAGTTTATTCCCACTTAGATCCAGGATCTTGGTGTCCAGTGGGATGCCGTCTGGCAGGGCAGACAGGCGTTTACCGTAACAGGACACAGTCTTGAGCTTTGCAATGCACTCACAACGTTGGGGACATCCTTGGCTCTGGGTGGGTGACACCGTGATCATCAGTAGCAAGAACAGGAAGGGCAGGAGCCAGCCTACATCCTGGCTCAGGCTCACCCCCATGGCCCTCAATTCCACTGCTTCCTCCTGCTCCTGTCAGGGGTTGAATCACTGGGCCAGACACCTGAGAAGAGAGAAAGAACGGGAAGAGGAAGAGGAAAAGGAAAGGAGGAGGGCAAATAAAGGAGCAGAAAGAGTGAGAAAGAGAGACAAAGAGACAGACAGTGAGACAAATTAATTAAACTCAATTCCCCTTCAACAGCAGCGATCAAAGACTCTAAATGAGTGGAATTACAATTACAAACCCTAATTGACCTGGCAGAGCAGCGAAATTAAAGCCAGAGCTCCAAGATAATCCTCAAAGGACTGGGTCTGTATTCAGTTGAACCACTTTGGTTTACAGCGATCGACTGCGCATTGCATACACTCAAGTTCTAAAATCACGTATCAGTGTGCACAGAAAAAAAAAACCCCTAATAGCTATGAGTCAGTTTTATATCTGATGGCTGTTTTGCTCTCTAGTTATTACATGCATTGTAAATGAAAACAGAGAAACAGGGAAAGTGAAAATCTATTGTATTCATAAGACCTCATGCGGGACATCTTAAAATGCATGAAAAAGGAAACACAATTGCAGATACTCAAATGCTCTTAACAGCAAACTGCACTGCAAAATGCACTCAAATGGCCCATTTGTATGGTGTGAGGAAACAGAAGACTGACAAATAGGAGGAAGAAAAATAACTGCATGTATACAAGCTAAATAAAATATGAAAGTGACACTGAACAATCCAATCAACAGGCACACAGCGCAATATATCCAGCCACGAGTGTCTTTGAGTAAATGCCTGACGAGGTCAGTCACCATAGCAGAAGGCCACGACTCAGTGCATCACAATAACTCAGTCCATCACATCATCTACATAAGTCTCTGAGGCATGAGGCTTATCATGAGAAGAGCTTGCCTAGCCTGACCTGTCTATGGGTTTCATATGACACACACAGACATACACACACACACACACACACACACACACACACACACACACACACACACACACACACACACACACACACACACACACACACACACACACACTTTTCCTCTCTCGTTCTGCCACACTGCAGAATGTTTGCAGCACAGGGGTAATCCCTTTATAAACCCGTCATAAAATAGCAACTAGTGGTAATGGAAAGTAGCTCCGGAAAACATATTCCATAACATCATAATAATTTAATGGTGGGGCAGACAGTGTGTTAAAGCATGCCGAAAAGAGCATCACTGATATAATCATCCCTCACACATGGAGACACATTGGAAATCACAAGTAACAGTAGACACTGACACTGTGGGTGTTAAAAAATGGAAAGGGTGCTGGTTGCTAATGTTTGACAAAAGACCAGAGGCTCCAATATATCATGGCTGTGTTCGCTAATACTTCACTAAATTGTATTCAAACAGGCACACATGCACAACCCCTCAAAACAATAGGGGAGTCCAAATTCAGAAGGCATGTTGGCATGTGGAGGACTAACAGTGTTGAGGGGTTTTAAATTCCCACCTGCTACTGTTACAGATGACTTAATAACTCCTTTAAATGTCCATCACCTCTACTCATGTTCCAATTTACAATTCACCCTGGTTCAGAGATGAGTGTTCCCATTAGCTGAATAAATTTAACTGTCTGAAAATGCCAGCAGAACTGTCTGATAACAGACAGGCTTAAAATGAGAAAAACATTGTTTTTCACTTTTAAACCAGTAAAATATGAACATTTCACATTTTTTAGAACTCATTAGTAGCATAAAAAAAGACAGTGTAGCAGACGCTGCTAATGCCCATGCAGTTATCAGACACAGCGGCCTGACATTTAAATTTTGTGTCATTCATGGTGGTCTAACAAGACTCAGAAGACACTGAAGCAAATGTCTTTTCTGCACCCATGGCCAGTGCTTGGATCTTGGTTCAGGCTTTGTAACTGAAAAAACATGGCAGCTGTCCTGGAGGAATTGTCAAATTTCACCTTAAATGTCACCAAAATAAACTGAACTCAAAAATAAATCTGTAGCAAGAACTTGGGGAAGAAAATTTACACACAAGGTTCAGGAGTTGAGAGTTGGAAAGTAATGTAGTTCACAGTTAAAATACAGAACTGCTCATCAATATTGTAATCTACACCTCTTTACTTCACTCACTGGTCCAGCTTCTAGCAACTGGATTTAATGGATTCAAACTGGACTGTACTGTGTAGTGGATGGCTGCTTTGTACTGATTCCTTGACACTGAATACAAATGTGCTTTGCTGGATTCTTGATAAATTAGTAATTATTCCATAATATCTAATCAATATCATTCCACGAGAGGTTGATCTTTGCTGTGAATCTGATGTTACTTTAATCGACAGAGACATTTTGGCATGTAGGAAGCAGATGTGTCTAAACTAAAATAGCCAATAATTACAGTGTTAAATGGTACATGAAACTGTAAGTAATATATGGTTTTATCCTCTGCAACAGTATAATAAAATTGCATGCACCAGCAATCTAGGTGGTGTTGACACCCAAAAGTTGATAAGACATGTAATAACTGCAAGCACTACTTTTATTGAATAAAATCCAGGATTAGGAGGAGTTAGATAAAGAATAGACAAGAGGAGGATAAGTGAAGTGGCAGCAGTGTCTGCATGGTTTCAAGGACTTCAATGATCCACCTTGGCATGCATGTTGACTTTTGTCTAACCTGTAGTTGGTCTGACATTTCATTCACATCAGCATGACGTATAGGGCCGTGTAGCCTCCACTAAAAACATTAGCAACTCACCTGCCTCTATGAAAGAGTTTTTTCTCCATAAACAGCGGGTGGACATTGACAGATAAACAGCAGTTACCGCAAACTTCCTCCTCCAACCCCCAAACACTGCCCCCTCCCCACATTTAAAAATGTCTCAAATTTCCCTGTCAGTCACATGGCTAGTTTTCCAAACCCATATCTGGTAGCAGTCACTAATAAGCCCGGAGGCCCCAGTCAGCTAATGCACCACAGGTCAACAGCAGGTGGATAGAGCAGTGTACACAGCATGACCCCTCCCCACTGTGGGCACCGGGCAACTCCACACAGAGCTGCTGTCCAAGAGGCTACTGTTACCTGATAGTAAGCTGAGGCAAAAATAACTGAGTGTCACATCTCTTTGATTACACAGCAGGAGTACAACAGTGCTCTTCCCTGCTGACCTTCAGCTGAAGCAGGTGACACAGAGCAGCAGCAAGGAGAGGACTGATTGACATCCACTTTCACCCAGTCTTCGTATTTCATTTGCTCTTTTTTTCTTCAAAGATAAAATTCTTGAGCTTTTCAACTAATTTATCTAGTTTGCCACTTGGCTGGTGCTGTACAAGTTGTGAATAGTGAAACACTACACTTCCAAAAGACAGTAAAACTGCAAACAATTGCAAAAACTTAAAACCTAAACCAAACCTAAACAGCAGAAAAGTGATTGGTGGTGCAGTTTTAAGTAAGTTGCATGTAATAAAATGATTCAAATGCCTTTTTCATCAGATAAACATGATCTTACTAGCAGAGAATAATGTTCAGTAAAGTTCAGTTACGTTAAAACTCCTCCGTAAAGTCAGGGGACATACACCAGACCAAACTACACCAGCTCTGTCTTGCAGACAGAATCAATATCCAGCTCTGATATAAACCGCAATGCTCGGATCGGCTTCGAAAGGACAATACAGTAGGTGTCTCATATTGTCATGGCAACACCTGCATCATCTGCCCCCCACCCACCTACTCCTGCTTCAAACTCTCTTCCCAGGCTGCTGTTTCCCATACCTGACTGAAACACACCTGTCCACTAGACGTCCTCAGCGAGTTTCCCGCCTCTGTGCGCTGATCTCACCTGAATGTCTCGGCCATCAGCCTCCTGATGCGTGGGCAACTGCTGCTCATTTGCTCTTCAGTAAATATCTAGGGTAGTATTTTCATGCACATCACAGATAGTTATCATATAGTTGTTAAAATGTTTGAGGTTCTCTCTCCTGCCTCATTCCTGTAGATGATTTCCTGCCTTTCTGTTGTTCTGACGTCTACCCGTCTTGTGCCTTCATTTAGTTCTTGTTGCCTGATATTTGTGACACAAGACAGATGCTCTTCGTCTTTCACTGTCAAATGGATGAATTATATATGAAATCATTGTCAGTATATATTGTTCACAGATCCAATAGCATCAGATAAGAGTTCAGGTTTCGTTATCTTACTATTTTTGTTGCCAGGCAACATTTACTCATCCAGTACTTTACAGCCCGAAGTGATGTCCTATTCTGGAAATGGCTCAATATTTAAACATAAGGGGGTTGAATTGATTTGAAACATCTATTTTTTGTTTCTTTCAAGCTTTACATATGTGGTCGTCTCAGATGCCAACAGACTGTAAAATTGTAATATGTAATGACAGAGGAAGGCCAAAGGGCTTAAAGAGACACTGCCAGCATCTCTAGTGAGTTTGCTGTGTCAGTTTTTTTAATGGAGAAGAATTGGATTGTATTGAGCTGAGACGCTAATAGACATTTTTTTTTTAACACGTCTTAGGAAATGTACAAGTGTTAACAATGTCCCTGTTCTGTATCACAGTAAACCATGACAGCGTGATAGTGAGCCAACATGAACAGTACGAGAAACCCTGAAACTGAAGCTGCTAGATGGAATTCAGCCTTCACTCATTTTATTATTTACACCAGTGCTTTTCCTGCTGTAATATGTCAAAATGTCTTGCTGTTCTATAAAGGGAACAATTAAATGTTCTCAGATGAGTATTATCAAAGAGAAAGTGGCTAAGTGTCAGAGAGATCTATTAGCTGTGAGACACTAAAACCGCATTGATAAATCAGAGCTGCCCACTTCAGCATTGCCAACACGTTGCCAGGTTTTGTGTCCCATGAAAATAAAATACCCGAGTCCTCCAAAAGGTGGCTTCATCCTGTCCTCCCCTTCACTGTGACGCTTAAAACTTAGATTGTGCTATAAATTTTAGGTGACACAACATGATGTCAAACAAACTTTGTGCAGCTTGAAACATTC